TGATATGGTGATTTATTATCAAGTAATTTTGAGGGTTGTCTATTGATCAAATATATATGTAGCATGAGCTATAGCAAAATTCCAAAAACACTTAGGTAAAGAAGATTGAAACAATAAGGCCCTAGACACTCCCAAAATATGTTGATGATTTCATTCAATAGTACCATTTTGTTGAGGTGTCTCAACACAAGAAGTTTGGTGAAGAATCCCTTTAGAATTAAAGAAAGCAGTAAGTTTTAACTCAGGTCCATTGTCAGATCTTATGCATTTCAGATTTGTACCAAATTGTGTTTCAATGTGATTGCTAAAAAATTCAATTAATTTTAGAACTTCATATTTCACTTTTATAAAGTATGTTCATGTGTGTCTTGTAAAATCATCAACAATACTAAAAAATATCTATGTCCTAAAGTAGAATGAATAGAAATAGGACCCCAGATGTCTACATTTATTATGTCAAAAGCATGGAAGCATAATCACAAGATAATTTCTTGTGCTTTGTAAACTGGCATACATCACAAGCATATTTTAACTTTTGTTTTGTATAAGAAATGAAAGGAAAATTAGTACTTATTACTAAAAGCTTATCATGAGATGGATGTCCAAGTCTTTTATGCCAAAGTTTCATATTAGAAATATCAGAAACAGATTGAGCCGTATGTGTATTATGAGTAGTATGGTATATATCAGGAGTATATGAAGTGGTTAAACCCTTAGATTTCAAAGCATACAAGCCCCCTCTGAGCTCAGCTACACCAATCATCCTCAATGTAAAGAGATCCTGTATAGAACAAGTCAAATCAGAAAAAAATCATTTTACAATGGAGAAATTTGGTTAGTTTGGATACTGATATTAGGTTGAAGTTAAAACTAGGTATGTAAAGGACATTAAACAAATAGAATTAATTGGAAAACATTACAGTGTCTGCAATTTGAGTAATAACCTCATTACCATTTGATAGCTTTACTAAAATAGGTTGGATTTTTCTAAAGGATTGAAATTCTGACCAGGAGTAACAAACATGGTTTGTAGCTCTTGTGTCAAGTATCCATGTGTTGGTTTTGACTAAGCATAACAAATCATGTAGGTTACTTGAAGCTAAGTGGTTTTTGGTTGATGTAGTTAATGTGGTTGTCTGGTTTATGCTATGCATTGACTGTGAATTTGATGATTGTTTGAGCATTGCTAAAATAACTTTATGTTGATTAAGAGTAAAAAATAGATTGGATTCCTCTTGAGTTTCTTTTTGTGACAACTTATTTGCATTATCATCATCATTATTTCCTAAGTAATTATTATTCACTGCACTATTAAAATTTTTGAAGTAATTGGTAGGAAAACCATGTTTCCTGTAGCACACATCCTCAGTGTGACCATTCCTGTTGCAATAGGTGCAGATTTTTGAAGATTGATCTCTGCTTGAATATCCTCTACCTCTTCCTGATGAATTAAAATTTCCTCTGCCTCTATAATTCTTTCCTCTACCAGAATTATTATTGGAATTGCCTCTGTTGACTGAATATTCAGTAGTATTAGCTAAGACTTTCACATCATAAGAAATAACATTCATTTGGCTCTCTTGTTGCACAAGCATTGAAAAAACCTTGTTGATACTTGGTAGAGCTTCCATTAACATAATTCGAGATTTAACAACAACATATTGGTTATTCAATCCTTTTAAAAATCTAATCACATAGTCATTTTCTCTATAGGATCTAATAGTGAGAATAAATGAACAAGAACATTATATTTGACATAAATAAGGAGGAATTGGTCTGAAATTGTCCAATTCCTGCCACAATCCCTTCAATTGTGTGAAGTAGGCACTAACAGATAAACTTCCTTGTTTAGCAGAATATAATTCTTCTTACAATTCGCATATTCTAAACATATCTCCTTGATAAAAAGGTTCTTTAAGATCAGTCCATACCTCAAAAGCATTCTCAAGCCACATTACGCTTTGCATTGCACAATAGATTGATCTAGAGAATGAGTTATCCATGATAAAACTAATATGTTGCATCTGTCCCAAGCAGCGAACATGGGATCTGTGAGAAGAGGTTTTGACACCGATCCATCCACAAATTGCAATTTGTTTTTGGACTTCAATGCCATAATCATTGCGCGTGACCAGGAATGATAATTAGTTCCAACTAACTGAGTAGAAACAAGAATAACTTCTTATTTTTGTTAGAATGCATATAATATGCACTAGTTGGATCATTGAGAGAATTTAGGGTTAAATTCATACTCGCCGTGCAGAAAAGATGAAGAATAGCAGAGAATAGAGAATCAAAGTTTTCCATAGCGTCAGAACTCCTGATACTATGTAAAAAAAGAAATCTCCATGGCAAAAAGCTTAGAACAATAAACTGTGAAAGAATGGAAACTAAAATCAAGAGAGAAAATAAAGAGCTCCAATCAGTTTGAAATTAGAAAATAATTTTCCTTATTTACTTTGTGAGTGAGACAAAGTTAATATACAAATTACATGTGATATCAGTCACACAATCATCAAAAACTTACAGTTATAAAAAAAACTAATAATAATAACAAACTTACGGTTACAAAAAAGCAAACACTAATAACAAACTTACGGTTAAAAAAAAACAACTAACACTACTAACAAACTTATAAAGAAACATCTAACATTAATTTATACATATAATAGTAACTGGATATTTTCTAATTCTAACATTTTTCAAAATTATGTTTTAAATTCTGTCTAATCATTATTTAAAAATTGGTCTAACGCTAGGATGTAATTCAAATTATTTATCATTTCCAGTCCATTTAAATTATTAGTATAATCGTTTTTTAAATTTGGCTTAAATATGGAGTAGTCATGTGGGATGCCATGTTCTCCTCCAATTTTTAATTTTAATTTATAAAAATATTTTAAGTTTTTTCTTTTAAAAAATTATACAGACTCCCTTTATTTATACTTCTGCCTCTGGCTTAAATAGTTTTTGCATTTTTTAAAAATTAAAATAATTTTCTTTAATAATATTTATAACGAAGAAGAAGCAGAATGCAATTTACTAAAGTCTTAAAAATGTTAAAGAAGAAAAGAGATGCACTTAGTCAAAGGATGTTGGTACTCAAAAGAAGGGTTGATCAAAGGAAGAAATAGTAACACACATGGGACACGACGCCGACGGCCATTTCTATGCGAATAAAACAGAGATTAAATTTTATCACCTCAAACAATAAAAATCTCAACTTTTGTATTCTTCTACTATCCTTTATGCCTTACATGTGTTATGTGACGGAATATTAAACTGTTTATTTTTTTTGTCGGCCAGCATCAAGATGTTAAAAATTTATACAATTTAAAAATAAAAACCCTACTTTCAAGTTGCAGCAAAAATTCATTGCTAAGTTTTAAAAACCATGATAATAATTCTGATAGTTAGTATTAAATAATCCATGGTGAATCATTTGATCTATTGGACCATCCTAAACTGCTTCAAATTAATATATATATATATATATATATATATATATATATATTAATTTTATTGAGTATTTAAATATGTCTCTTACTTTCTAAAAACGCCATTTAAAAACCTTAATTGGATTCTTAGTATTACATTATAATAATATAAACAGAATGTAAAAAGATGTTAAATTGTATTATTTTTAAACAAATCAATATAATTTTGTGTACTTTAAATAAAATTCTATAATTAAATTATAATAACCACTAAGAAGCAAGGATTCCATTAAGACGAGTTAATAGAGTTTATAGAGCATGTTGGTCAAAATATTCTATAAATCCTTTTAAATAGTTACTTTGATTGTATTAATTAACTCTAGTTTTATTAATGATTGAAATTTTATTTTTCATTTATCAATGAATGTCCTATGATAAAAAGACGAGATTGTAAGGTATGTTATATATATATCACTGCATTTTATTCATTTCTTAAAATCGTTTTTAATTTGTGCTTAAAAAAATTATGATTTCATTTTAAGATGTGCAAGATACTATAAACATTTATATAGCAAATATTATTTTAGCAATGGAAATAATTTCAATACTTTTCAACGAAACTATATGCATAAATATACAATCGAGTCTCAATTATGTGCACCGATTTAAAATTAATTTGATCAAAATATTATGTAGTCAAGTTTGAAATAAATAAATGTGTTAGTTTGATCAGAATATAATGTAGTCAACCTTAAAATAAATAAACCAGCGTGACGGTGCCTCTCGGGTTTGCCCTACAAATTACGTTTAGAGTGAAAGGAATTGGGCTTGAACTCTGAACTAAAATGTTTGATCGAAATGTTACTTTTGAAAGTCAACAGGAACGGGTAAAATTATTTTTAAGGAAAATTTCTCATGAAATAGAATCAGTAGTAATGTAATTAAAAAAAAATCATAACAGATAAAATAAAATAAAATGGTAAATTGAATTAATGTGGCTGAGGTATTCCATTGGGAGAGTTAACATGACACCCACACAACCTGTCTATGTCTATAAATGTTATTATTATTATTATATTAATTTAATCGGTTGTTTAATGGATGTTTAAGAAAAAGGTTCTCAAACAAAAAATTTTCCTTCCATTGCGGGGGTGAGGATAAGGATGAAAAGAAGCAAGTTGATGGAGAGTAAAGAAGATAATGACTGGCAAAGCTGGCAAGTAGCTAATTCAACATGTGCAATAAATGTTTCACTCAGATTTTATGTTCCTGTTTTGTCTCATGTACGTGTTGACGACTGGATAATTTCCATCTTTTGGAAAAGTCATCGCACACTCTTTCTCTCTCTCCAATGGAGGCTCAACTTTTTTGCGTGTTTTGACTTCACCACAAATTGCACACGCACTTTTGTATATATACAAACTCCTCTCGCCCTCTCATTTCTCAACTCCATTGCTTTCCAAACCCTCACAACACATTCACACAAACCACGACCTTCTTCTTCAATTCCTTTTTCCATATAATCAAGGTTAAGGTTAAGGTTAGTTCCTCTAGAAGATCCGCATGGACAACGAGATCGATGTTCCTTCATTCTTTGTCTGCCCCATTTCCTTAGAAATCATGAAGGATCCAGTGACGGTTTCCACGGGCATCACCTACGACCGTGAAAGCATCGAAACCTGGTTGTTCTCTAAGAGAAACACCACATGCCCCGTCACCAAACAACCCTTGTTAGATTACACCGAACTCACCCCTAACCACACCCTTCGGAGACTCATCCAAGCGTGGTGTACCATGAACGCTTCTTACGGCATCGAAAGGATCCCAACTCCAAAACCTCCTGTTAACAAGACTCAGATTTCGAAGCTTCTTAAAGACGCTCCTCACTCCCCTCTAATTTGCCTCCGAAGACTCAAATCCATCGCTTCGGGAAGCGAGACAAATAAGCGATGCATGGAAGCTGCAGGTGCTGTTGAGTTCCTAGCATCGATTGTGATGAACAACAATAGCAAAAACGATTCTTCAATTGGAACTGATCCCAATGATGGATCTGGATTCGAGTTGAAAACAAATCCAAGCGATGAAGCTTTGAGTTTGCTTCACAATCTTCATTTATCTGAACAAGGGTTGAAGACTCTTCTAAGCTTCAGAAACGGAGAGTTTATCGAGTCTTTGACAAGAGTCATGCAGAAGGGGTTCTTTGAATCACGTGCTTATGCAGTTTTCTTGTTGAAATCTATGTCTGAAGTCGCTGATCCAGTGCAATTGTTGCATCTAAGTCAGGAACTTTTCGTGGAATTAGTGCAAGTATTGAAGGATCAGATTTCAACAATGACATCAAAAGCGATCCTTCAAACCTTAATCCAATTCTCTCCTTGGGGGAGGAACAGGATCAAGGCAGTGGAAGCAGGAACCGTTCCTGTTCTTATAGAGCTTCTTCTGGATTGCAATGATAGAAAGCCTTGTGAGATGATGCTGGTGCTGTTGGAGATACTGTGCCAGTGTGCTGAGGGAAGAGCAGAACTATTGAGTCATGGAGCAGGTCTTGCCATTGTTTCAAAGAAGATTCTAAGAGTTTCGACATTGGCGAATGATAGGGCTGTTAGGATTCTTCTGTGTATTTCCAAGTTTTCTGCGACTCCACATGTTGTTCAAGAAATGCTGAAACTTGGTGTGGCGGCGAAACTGTGCTTGGTGCTTCAGGTGGATAGTGGAAACAAGGCCAAGGAAAAGGCAAGAGAGATACTCAAATTGCATGGTCGGGCGTGGAAGAATTCTCCATGCATACCGAACAAATTGCTTTCTTCACACCCTTATGCGTGAAACCTTTGATAGAGAATTTTGAATCATACATATACGTACCTCTTTTAGAAATTTTTATGTACAGAATTATTTTGAAAGGACACAGTTAGGTTCAAGTTATAATTAATAGCAGCACACTATACATTAATTCCCCACAAAAAGCACAGGTGGGTAGCGATTTAGGTTTTGCTTTGTGTCTCCTCACAATTGTGTAATGAATTTTGGTTTTGCTAAACAGACACAGAAAGGGTTAATCAATCCTACATTCATACCGATTTTGTTCCAGATTTTGAGTTCATTTCTCTCTCTTCTCTTTTTACATTCAATTGTTTGGAGGGAAGTAATAATTTGACAACCTTAAATGAAAAAATAACCAAGACAACTCTCTTTATCAATATAATAATAAAACTTTATATTTTTATATTTACTATTGTTTTATTATTAAAAAAGAGTGGTTGAATGAATATTTGAAAAACAAAGATGATATATTGATACCCGAAGAATCAATCGACAACTATAAATATTAATAATATATTAATTATTATTATTATAATATTAATTTATTTTAGCGGTTATTTAATGGATGCTTATTAAAAGAGGGGTTGTCAATCAAAATTTTCCTTTTGAAAAATGAAAGTTCATGTTGAGATTGAGTATCTTTTAATTCTAAGATTAAAAAAAAATACTTGCAATATTACTATTAATGCTACAAAAAAACTTGTAATACTAATACATATAATATAATGCCGAAGCCTAATTTACTTAGGTAATTCATAATATCACCTGTCAATGTTCATAAACAATATATTCATATAACACATACTCAGTATTTTTAAATTTTAATTTTTTTAAGTACATATATCATATAAAAATATAAAATAATCTCCTATTAATTTATGAAAATCTCAACCTATTGAGATAATTATACACGTTGGATAGGAGTAATTTTTTTTTCTGGAGTAGGAGTAATTTACTTTCAATAAGCAACTACTTTATTATAATTTGAAGAGTTTTAATGAATTGTTCTATAACAATAATATTTTTTTAATAATTATATTAAAATTTCTTCCATTATATTAATTAATATTAAAATAGTTGTTGAAGTATGACATAGTAGTTGCCCTCCTAGCTAAGATGTTGCAAATGACATTGAATAAAGCAAAACAAATTTTAATAATAGCATATAATTTACATTTGGTGGTGAAAATATTATTTTATCATAAAGTGGAAAGGCATTAATCTTTATGATCAATCTCATATATACATAGTCAAAAGTTAAATGCTTCATGTTTTTAATATCATATATGCATGCATGATTTAATAATTTGAACGTTTCTTTTAACTTCATTTTTTTTAATAAAAATACTTTTCTCCTCGTAATATTGCACTATAAACAAGAAACTAAGAAAATAAACTTTCCTCCTATTTTTTTAACTGCATTTTCCAAAGAAAAGTTAACCCTCGTCATAAAATTATACACCTCTGCACTGTATGAAAATAAACTTTACATATAGGTGGTCAAAAGAGTAAATGATTTAAACTGTACATTATGTAATCAATTTCACCTTTAATAATCTTAGAAACGTCGTTTAGGAACGTTTTTACGTGAAAGAGTCATTGCTTTGATAGGAAGGAGTAGTTGATACGCACTTGTGAAAGAGTGCATTGTTGGATTTTTTGAATGAAAATTTAAAGTTTCTTCAACGAATCAATCGTGATATATGCATATGTATTTCTAGAAAATAGCTCTTAGGAGTATATAGTTGTGAATGTGATGTTCAAACTCATGTATAGACCAAGTTAAGAAACCTACGTAGTTCTTGTAAAGTTTAAATCCTCAGTGAGAAACTTCTTCATCTACATTTGTTGACCCAAAGAAATAAACCAGAAGAATCCATTGGGCATACCAAAATTAATGACGAATAATTAATTTGTCAAACTTATAATACTAATGAATTAGTCAAACCATTTCATAATACTCCCTCTTCCTAAAATTATTTTAAATTTTCTTATTATCAATTATTATGTAGGTAATTTCTTTTATAGAGATGGATCTATGAATTTGTGCATGGTGAGGACAAGTTTGTTATTAATTTTTAGGGTCATGTGGTGCAGATTATTTTATGTACGGTGGTTGCACTTTAAGTTTGTCCTAACTTTCAAAGTTTGAATACCTCCCCTATATCATAAAAAGACACCGTGGTGGTGGGTGGTGGCAAAATAATATGTGGTTTATGAATTTTAGTATTAAAAAATTGAAGTGTCAGATTGTGCATTGACCAATTGAAGTGTCAGATTGTGTTCATTGGAGGTCAATGCAGCTGTGAACGTGAAAGAACGTAAATATTTGAATATCATTTTCTGACCGAATTAAGCAGAAGAAAAGACCATCACTGTTAGCTGGTGTTGGCCATTGATTATAGTGACCAGGTGCAAGTTGGTTCGGTCCAACCCGTAGTTGGGAACCCCCAATATATTATTTTTAACCACCGTATTAGTTAGTACCCTTATTCTGACCCTCATTCTGCTTCATTACTGCAACCATTTAATTTCCCAAACCAGCGACTTTTTTCAGGCCCTTTTATCACAAAATTGAAGTTTTTTTTCTGTTAATAAAATTTAATTTCATAATTTTTTTTTCAAAAATTATGTTTTATAGTCATACTTTTTAATATTTACATATTTTACTAATTTATATATGAAATATATAACAACATTTTGACCTGTTATAAAAAATCAGAAAAGTAATAAAACATTGTTTTGTTACCGATTTTAAGAATTTTTTTTATCATTTTTGTGTTATTTTATTTTCTTACATTGTTTAACATATTTAACTAATTGATAAAATATACAAAATAAGAAAATGTAATAATGAAATAAAGAGAAGAAAAAAATATTATAGTTGAATAAGAAACATGCGCGATTTAGACTTTTTTTTTTTATATAATTATATTTTTTTATAAAAACTAGTTAACGAATTTTGTTGTTATGAAATACTTACTCAATTATTATTTTTTATGGACTTATTTAAATGGTTTTTTTTTCTTCTGTTTGATAAGAATCTAACATTTAAAGACATTCACACTCAAATTCATAATCAATTTGTTTAGTTAATTAAAAAATTGAATTAGTGTAATTTGAAAAAGTCATGCACTTTGACATTATTCTGCGTTATTATATATATAGCTAGTGCTAATAATGGTTAGAATATTTTTTTTAATATAGACATAAGTGCATAAATAAATAACTAATTGTAATTAAATATTTAGGAATTTCTTTTGTTCTTTTTTAAAATAATTTTTTAGTTTTTTAAATTAAAATATTTTTAATAACAGTTTTATTAAAAATATTTTTTCATTTTTATTTTATTTTTTAATAACATGTATATCTCCATCGGCTATTAGATTAAATTATCTATATTCATCATCCTGAAATGGCTAAGTCTGTCTTCTAATCTTTTATTTTGTTAATTTTTTTCAAAAATATTTTTCAAATTACATTCAAATAATTATTTTTTATTTATTTAAAAAAGAATTACTATTTTTAATAACCAAAAGAAAAACTCTTCTCGTGAACTGTAAGAAAATGGCAAAAAAGAGAGAGTAATAGATTAGCTTCAGAATATTCTATAGAAACATAAATATAATCAATTGTATTTTTATAATGAATTTATTTGGTTTATAACCAAAAAAAAAACAAAAAAAAACAACTGAGATCTTTAGTCTAAAAGGCTGGTACAAGAGACAACTTGGAGTTGGTAGAAAGAACAACGAGAGTTGAAAAATAAGGTAAAGAATCGAAATGTGAATTTTTATTATAAAGTCAGAAGTCAAACGAAGATTTTAAAAGACAAATTAAAGTTAATAACTTGTAATTACTAATTTGGAAGTATACTGAATTTAAAAGTGAAGAAAAATGCAAAAAATGTTTACTGAAGAAAACTACCAGAGAGAACTGTGATAAGTGAAGTGTCGTAATTAGTGCAAAACAATACTTTTCTTGAATAATTATTATAGTAATTTTGTTATTTGAATCATATGGAAAATTAGTCCATCATCTAACTGTACCAAGATTCTTACGACAGTTCTGATCAAGAAAATATTCATTTTGTGAATTATTGTATTTGAGGATATAAATCTATCTTTTATCCTTCAATTTTAAAAGTATTACGATTTTTTTTATCATTTATAATTTTTTTTTAAATATAAAAATTATAAAAGCAAGTTTATGCAGAAGGGTGAAAAAGGTTTTTCTTACTAATTTACATTATTATTTACATATTCTTAAAATGTACCACTGGATATATAGTAACCTTTCGAAGTAAAAAAACAAGAAAGAAAACAACTTAAAATTCTGAACGTTTCTTGGGTCTTTGACAATATTATTTATCGAATGCAACACATATACACTAAATTTAAATTAATATATATGTCTACAACAATATCATCAGCTTTCTTCTTTTCTTATATTCCTAATCATACAAATCTTATTTGCTATGGCTTTATTATAATAAAACTTAAACTAGCATATTGACCAATAATATACTTTAGAAAAACAATAAGATGCTCCAATTAGATGAAAAAATCTAGAAGTTCAAAATGAGATGTAATAAGACTCCTTTCGAGGGATCAAATATGAAAAGTGGGTTTCTTTATAGAATGTATTTTTTTGACTCAATATCCAATGTGTTGTTGAGTATCTCAAATTGGTTTCTTTTTATTGCTTTGTTTAAATTTATATAATTTAAAAAAAAAAATTGTTAGTAATGGATGAACTTTCACTCTAATAGAAAACTAACTTTCTCCACAGCTTCGGAGGAGAACAAATCCGGTCCCTAACCTGGTAGTGGTAACCATTATTTTAAACTAAAACTGAAGAACTAGATTGAAGTGCATATATTGAAATAAGTTCATCAAGATAGAAAGTGTTTGTAATCATTAGTATGATGCATATCGCACAAATTAAGACTGCATATGCTTACATTCTCAAATTATTTATTAGTGATTTTATCCAACCTATATACATCATAAACTGTAATATATAACCAGAAACAAAACAAAGGTAGAAAGAAGTATTGAAGAATCATATATATATATTATCAAGGAGTGGAAAAAGTAGCATCCCTCGGCAAATCGAAGTGGCTCCAACAATTGCCCATTAAGAAGTCTGCATCATAAGCCTCTGGTCCAAAAAGGGGCGATTGAGTGGCTTGCAAAGCATGATCTACCATAATCTCGGAATTGGACCACAACACATTACCATGTGAGGTTTCTGCCTCTTCACCTGGTAAAGGTGGCAACTCAAAGTTTGTTTTTGTAACTGTAGTGTCATGACTGCTACTATATTCTTGATGCTTCTGGATAGAGTTCAAGCCGCAAAAGTACATTTCGATATCCTCACCAAAATGGGATTCTGAGGGTTGTTCATGAAAATGCAAACCAAGCTCTGCAGACAAAGGGCTGTGGCCAAAATCAGTGTTCATTATGCTTGAATACTCAGGAGAAGGATAGCAAGCTGTTTGCACTTGATCTGGCTTCAGATTGAGAAAACTTGCATAGACTTGTGCAAGATCAATATTTGGTCCATCAGACACAACTGAAGATGAGGGCCTTAAATCATCAGAATGCCCAACTGAGCTATTGGCTTGTCTTAAGGCTTTATTATATTTACCCCTTCTACTTTTGCGGCAGCCACCACCAATTGGCACATTGCGGAGGGATCCTCCTTTGGTCCAGTACCTTCTGCAGCCCTTGCAAAAGTACCGTGGCTGAGTTGAACTGTAGTTATTGTAGTAGCAGAATTTGGTATTGGAAGAACCACACCTAGGACAATTTGGTGAAATCTCAACATTATTAGCCTTCCATCCTCTCTCCATCACCACTCACAGCATATCAACGTATTTCCCTCTCTTTGGTTTGTTTGTGGACTTTGAGAGAGAGAGAGAGAGAGAGAGAGAGAGGAGGAGGTTTGAAGAAGGTGAAATGGCTATCTAGACTTCAATTGATTACATGAACATAGTTTGTGGTGATGGTAACTCCTATAAAGCACATTGAGTGTAGTGGGTGCAGTTTGTTTTATAATAATTCACGTGAGAGGGCCTTTGGATATGATCTTGGAATTGTATATGCGGCCATGCACATGAGCATGCATGGGTTAAGTTAGGCCAGGTGGTGTCACTGCTCCGCGGGCTAATGCATGGTGTCGGTGTTAACCATATGTGGCATGTTTATATTGGTGGAGATGAGCGATTGCGGAAGCAAAACCCTCGGTAGAATAATTTCAGGTTTCTTCTTTCAACAATCAACAACTTAGATATATGAGAAGCAGATCCCACAACAGAAGTTTAACATATCCCAACCTCAATCTTTCCCTGATCCCTTTATGTTATAAGTACATACGACATCAACTCAAATTATTGCTAAAGATATCTGAACATTGTTTCATTTGAATCAACGAAATATTGTTGATAGCGTACGGTCACAAACGTAATTCTCTGATCTTTGCTTCTTCAACAATTCTAATCAAGAAAAAAGAAATCACAGCTTGATACAGTTTTTAAATCATGCCTACTAATCATTGTTCAACTCCCTCGTGCGCTGAATAACTTAATAATTTTTTGGCATGAATTTTGGGAGTAGTCCATGGTTCCACTTGGTTTCTTTTAAAGCTGGTGACTACTTTTTGCTTATTTTGTACGCTTCTTAATTGATAATTTGTGATTAACATATAACTGATATCTGCTACAGAGAATTTTAAGAAAATCTAGTTATGAATTAACTGCAAATGCTTTCTGCTTTCATTCATTCCAAACTCTGGTGAATTATGTCAACAATCAAGACACAAGAAACCTGGAGGAGCATTTTTTTGCTATGAAGCTCTGATGAACCAAGTGGTGCACGCATCTCTCCTTTTATTCAAACTTGTAAGTAATGCCAATTTAAAATGTACAGTACGCTAATTGTTCGACTGTTGTTCAAGAAAAGGAGCACATGGAATTAAATTGAGTTTGCATTTTCTGAAGAAAGAATGTCTCTTTCACGATAGTACTAATAAGAGATTGTTTATTAATTGTTATTGTTGGATCTTGAGCTTCTCGGATCATGCAAAGCTTTTTAAAAACTGTATACTAATATCAATGAAATATGACACTCCACCAGCATGCAAACGTTACTTGTTGCCAATGAATATCTTCTCCTCTTTTCCTTTATTTTTTTTTTTCTTGTTTTAATCTTTACTGTTATTAGTCAAACAATATCCAATTCAGGCAACTGAATTGCAAAAATACAAACATCATAAGAGTTGTCTAGTAAAAATAAGCAGTTTGACATAAATGTCATAAAAAAACAGCAGATCGCCACAGGTATATAAGAAAGTCTAATTATAAATTTTTGAACACTTGGAAAATATTATATAGTCTTTATCCTTTTTAGCACACCATTTTAAAAATAAATTATTAAATAGTTTTATACTGCACCCTATTTTTAAAAGAAATAAATGCAAGGATTCCTATATGTAATAGTTGGGTAAAAAAAGATTCCTGTTTTTAACTTAAAAGTTGTTATCTCTTTCTAATTAAATTTCTATAAAGTGAAAGAAAAATTACTTAATGTTGATAAAATAATGTGGTAATAAAAGTAAACTCTTATTAAATGTGGTATCTTATTATATGTTGGATAACTAAATTAAAGTAAATGTATAAATGTGTGTAGTAAAAATTAAGAAATGTATCATAGTAGTATGTAATGTTTTCACTATTTTTAGTGTGTATAAGTGGAGACTATTCAAATACTTTTACACCAAAATAATAACATATTAATCATGCTATATAATATATTAACGTAAAGAAAAGATTAATTGGTGCATTAATTCTGCCTAATAACAATACATCTTAATCAAAGGACCTATACTAATTTTTATTCTCATCTCCATTTTTTAAGCTAAACTGTTTTTATTTTATTTTAATTCACATTTTTTTATCTTGTTTTTTTAATTTCTGACGTATTTCTTCTTTCTACTAAACTGACCTAATAATTATCGTAAGAAATGTGAGTACAAGTGTTCTTCATCTCACCCATGAATCTATTTGTTCACGTGCCACATTGCACAATTCAGTTTGGAAAATACTATTTATTATATGATTTATCTAGGTCGAGGTCAATCTGAGGCCATGGGGACATTGGGCCTGCATTAGTAGTGTGGGGAGTGGACTTTTGGGCTTTGATGTTCTTCAACTCTTTGTTTCCATTCTCTCGTTATTTTACAAAAATATTACTAATAAAAATACATTTGCCGTGAATCTTGACAAATCATGTCCAAATATATAATAATATGTTTTTTTTTTGTTATTTTTATTAATAAACACTTCCTTTTATCCTATCAATTACTTGAGATAAAAATAGATAAAATTGGAAAGTTATTACAGAAAATGCGATATGGGTGTAATGGAAAGCTTATGAAAGCTGAATTCCTCAATCTTCAGCTTAATTGAATAAACTCTCAATTAATCTTTAATTACATTTTTTAAAAAATTACCAGGTCTTGATCAAACATAATAACCATATTTTTTTCCTACAGAAAAGAAAAAATAATGATGTTTAATCTAATATAAAATCCTTAAAAAACTATTGAATATAGAACAATATTTAAATAACCAAAGTTGGATAGTCCAGTTATATGAAACAAAGTTTAATATAAAATTTTTATATTAAAAATTATAAACGTTGTTATACTTTATTTCATTGTTATTAGTAATCTTTGCCTGGACTCTGATAGACGACGTCGTTGAAGGCAAAGAGAACTTCCTCTGGCGACTGAACTGTGTGTCTTTCCGTTGGTCGTTACTCCCCCAAATCCCAATCGCACTTCGACGGCGGAGATCAGATCTGCTCTGTATCTCTCTCAGACCGAGACAAGAGAGAGTGAAGCGACTCTCCCACACCGCAGTGTCGGCGAGCTGCGCATAGTCGTCGAAAGGAGAATATCCATAACACGATGGCGACGATGGATCCGTTGATGACGCCGCTGGGGCAAATGCTATTGGAGGAGATCACTCCGGTGGTGATGCTCCTTTCAACTCCTTCCGTCGAAAAAGCTTCCCTCAAGAACGGCCTCTCCTTCCTCCAGACGCTAACGCCGTTCTGCTCCTTCAACAACATCGACGGTAATCTCCTCCACCGCATCCAATTCTATTTAATTCATAACCCGTAATGCCTTCTCACTCCTCACCAGCATTCTTCCTCATCGTGCAGTGCCTGTTAGGACTGCCAGTGACCAACCCTATCGCCTTCACAAGTTCAAATTGCGCTTGTTTTACGCTTCCGATGTTAGGAGGCCCGATTTGCAGGTAATCAACTGCTCGCGCGTTCTCTTATCAATGCCGTGACCGTCGCGTTCCCAGATGCTTAGGATGTGCTTGCTTCGTAGATTTTTTGAATGTTCCGCGCTTTCTTCGATGTTTAGGATTTGTCATGTGGTTCTGTTTGTGTACTCTCATTTTTTTACTAGGTAGCTAAAGAGCAATTGAAGCAAGTTATCACGGAGGCAGGGGAGAAAGAGTTTTCTGAGTCGGGTTCAGATTTGCCGGAAATTAATCATGAACTTTCTTCTAGTAAGTGATTTCACTGTATATATTTGTTTTTTGTGTTTTTTATGTTCATGTACGTGCCTTTTCGTGGTAAAATAATTAGCTGTAATTGTCTAATTTATATGTAGGTGAATGTACAGCTATACTTCATATAATTAATGTTCATTTTGAATTGTTTGGGTTTGGAATTGAGCTGAGTTTGGGCACTGAGTTTTCCAGTTCCATTAAACTGCGGACATGATACATTTCAATAATTTAATTGAAAAAGACAAGCTTGAGCTAATATTAGTGCTATACTGCTATAATAGGCGCAACTTGTTTACTGGGCTGGAATGGTGATATCATGGTAGTTTAGTTCTGTCATTGTCTAAGATCTGGTTTTGATTAACAAATACTTTTGTAGGTTCTGAATACCAAAATACACCATCTTTGTTTCGGTTTCTCAATAAAGAGCTTGTTCGAGTGGCTTCCTTTTCAGATCATGAAGCTTTTGACCATCCTGTGATATGTAAGATTTGGAATAAGTCAGAGCTCTTCTTCTTTTGTGTTCTAATTTTCTCTTACATGGTAGTATAGTGGAATGCATACATAATTCGATTTTGAATTTTTCTTTTACTTTCCTTCTTCTGAATGTGTCTTTTTCAGATATATTTGTCTTTCCTCCTCAAAATAATTTGCAGGTCTTCTAGCTGTCTCTTCTAAGGATGAGCAACCTATTAACAAATTTGTTGACTTTTTTAATACCAACAAGCTTCCTTCCCTTCTTAATGATGGCTCTATGGATCCAAAAATTTCAAAGCATTACTTGTTAGTGCATGATAATCAAGATGGTCCTGCAGACAGGTATAAATGATGCCATTCTTTTGGTTTGAGAAGCTTTTTAAATGTGAATACACTGGAGACATGCACTGGTTGCCAATAATTTATTCTTCATGTCATTCTGTTAGAGGTATCTTGTACATGATGGGATGGGAGATCCAAGTTTTGGTTTTTAATGAAAATTGCTTGGGCCTGACATTTTTCATAGAAGACCCTTAAATTGCAAGTTAATGGGCATATTTCTGGAGGGACACTGGGGAGCATTCTTTGGTGTTTGTAGAGAAGTATTTGAAGTTTGTACTTTTGTAATTCTTTCTTCAATATTCTTACTCTCTTCTAACAATGAGTTATTCCTTTGAGAAAAACTGTTTTGGAAATCCAAAGCTACCTCTAAAGGTTTTTTGAAAGGGCACTGGTATTGATCAGATGCAAATGACCTTGTTCAAAGTTTCAGGCTTCACATTGTGATGTCTGTTTTATGTGTTACACACTGCTCTAACGCAGAATCTATGGGCACCTGTTCGTTCCCTGCAAGAGAGCCAACTTTTATTGAACAATTTGTTTGTAGTACTGGAAGAACTGTGGGCTTCTCTCACTTCTCTATTTTTTTCTTATTACACTAACATTTTCTCTATCTTGAACACATATACAATAATCCTTTGAGGAAGGATGTTTTATGATATATAAACTTTATATGAAAATAATTCAAATTTCTCTACTAGTTTCATCTTGTAGGAGTTTACCTCATAAAATGAGTTTACGCATGAGTTCACCCGTGGCTGCTGTTTTGACTAGTAAACTCGTTCAAATTAACAAATTACCTTGCGAGTTTGATAACCATGGTCCTAGGTGTGCCCCCAACATTTTATAGTATTGATCCCAAATATTTAAACCTACAAATTTGTGGTATGACATCTCCCTTTTGAACTTCCAAGTCATATTCCTCTTGTCTCTTGCTAAAATTGCTAGCCTTACTTTGTCTTATTCATACTTAAGTGAAAACCTTTTGTTTCCAAAAATTGTCTCCAAAGCTCAAGTTTAAAGGTAATTGCTTCCTTGATTCCTCAATCAAAATTATGTTACCTGCTAAAAAGCATGAATTGGGGTTAATATTTTGTACGTTGTTGGTCAGGGCAACCGAAACTAGAGTGCTTAAGGATGAGCCTTAATGTAATCCTATTATTACAATAAGAAAATCCTTAGTCTCATCTTTTTGAACTCTCACACCAGTCTGGATATAATAAGCCATACATATGAACTAATTTGTTTTCCAAAGTCTTCCGTAAAACTTCTTGCCACTTGACCATAAGCTTTTTCAAAGTTAATAAAACCATATGTAAGTCTCTTTTTTTGCTTCAGTAACTTCCTATCAACCCCCATAGAAGATAAATGGCTTCTTCTGCGGTAGACTTTCTTCGCATAAAACTTCTCTTAATCTATGCTCAACCACTTCTTAAAATTTCATAGTCTAAGAGTGACCATTGAACTGAAAATTGTTTTATTAGAAAAAGAAATAGAATGAAAATTTGGCAGTTGTTTGCTGCAACTTTTGGTCTTGACTATCATTATTTTATTTGGAAAGGTTTATTAGTTCTATGTGAATTTAGACTTATTTGAGTTGCCTATTCATGTTAAACAGTGCAAGTAAGATATTGACAGAAATGAGGAATACATTTGGTACAAGTGATTGTTCGTTGCTTTGTATTAATTCCTCCCTCGATGCTCCAATCAAACATCAAGATAATCCTTGGGCTTCTTACGTAAGTTTGTTTGGGGAGGTTTTATAGTTTCTTCTTTTCCAAAATTAAAAAGAAATTTGATTATTTAGTTCATCTTCTTTGCCTCATGCTTTGTCCTTTATATTGTCTTCTGGATCATATGCTAAAATTTATATAATTTGGTTTCATTTTTATGAAAGTATGCAATTTAGACTTTTTGTCTCCTGAAATTTGTACAGATAACTGATGCCTCACCTACTCCCAGTCAAGATCTTGGTTGCTTTCTTAACATTGATGATATCAATGAGGTATTTGGCTTTTGCTAACAGAATTTCTGTAGATTCATTATATTGGCTTTATGCTTACATCATACATGCATTTTTTGCTACCCTTTTTTGTTTCTTGAGTACAGATCAAAGATCTATTGCAAAATTTATCATCTAAGCACATCATTCCCAATATGGAGCAAAAAATTCGTATACTCAACCAACAGGTCTGTTATGTTTAGCTTCGGATCCATGGTTTTTGAAATTGTTAATCCAGACCCTAGAATAATTATTTTGACCTGTATTCCGAGTGTCTTCCCCTCTTTCTGTTTATTTTTCTTTTGTTTAGGTTTCTGCAACACGGAAAGGGTTTAAAAACCAAATAAAAAATTTATGGTGGAGAAAAGGGAAAGAAGATGGTGCAGATTCTCTCAATGGTCCTACGTATGTTATGTTTATTTATATATTATTAGAGAATATACATGTATGCCATATATAATTCTATTTCTTGCATTTTTCTAATATTGTTTTCATTTCCATTGTTGAAGGTATAACTTTAATTCCATTGAATCCCAGATTCGACTTTTGGGTGATTATGCTTTCATGTTACGAGATTATGAACTTGCCTTGTCAAATTATCGTCTAATTTCCACAGATTACAAGATTGATAAAGCCTGGAAGCGGTATGCTGGTGTTCAGGTAATTATTATTATTTTTTATATACCATTTGCAGAGGGCTTTCAGATGATGACACACTGTTGTTAGATGGTTTCCAGTTAGATTAGGTTTTTTTGTTGAGAAGCCGTGGAAGGATGTTCATTTCGATTCAATTGTTTCCATAAATAAGGAATAACTTTCCTTGATAATATAGAGCTATTTCAGAAGAGTGATTTAATTCTATCATTTATCTCCCAACAACCTGAATCCCTATTTCCCTTTTCTTATGATCTTACTGAGGGATTAATTTATTTTTCTTAAGTTATGAAACATTAAAACCTGGGAAATATTGTAAATGAGATACTTTACATGGCTCATTGCTTGTCATTTGGGATTATAGTCAAAATGATCTGACTTTTAAAGTAAAGTTACATTGCATTATGGATTTTAGATGAACTTCACGCCTTTTGAATTACTCATGCTTAATCGTTAAAGATTTTTTTGCTTCCGTATTGGCATTTACCATATCATCCCCTATCTGAACAGAAAAGTAAAATAATATTAAGAAGAAACCCTTCTTTTTTGAGTTGTTCCTTTTCCCAGTGGTGTAGTTCCTTAGCATTGATTTTTCCCATACATATATATGATATTTTTGATAGTAGAATGTTCTGAAATGCATCATTCTTTGTTTCTCTACTTAATTTTTCAGGAAATGATGGGACTTACTTACTTCATATTGGATCAATCAAGAAAGGAAGCTGAGTATTGCATGGAAAACGCTTTTAACACATATTTAGTATGTATGGTTTATTTTGGATCATGAGAAAGATTGAGTAGTTTTTTTTTTTTTTTTTTTAAATGCTCTCTTACTGCTATTCTCTTTTTGATTCATTAACTTAATATGTTCAGAAGCTTGGATCATTGGGTCAGCTAAATGCAACACGATGTGGTCTGTGGTGGATAGAAATGTTAAAGGCACGTGATCAATATAAGGAGGCAGCTACTGTTTACTTTCGTATTTGTGGTGAGGTAGTGCTTTTTTTTTTTCTTTTCAGAAAATATAAAAATAATTATAATTTGGGATTATTGTTTTCCACTGTTGACCAATTCCTTATATCAGGATATCCTACATTCTGCTGTGATGCTTGAACAAGCATCATACTGCTACTTGTTGTCTAGACCCTCCATGTTACGCAAATATGGATTCCATCTAGTGCTTTCTGGTGAGCAGTATAAAAAGTGTGATCAGGTACATTGGGATATCAACAATATGCTGACAGTCCCCATACCAATTTAATAATGTATTGCTTTTCCTTACTAACTTTTTTTTTATCATGACTTTTGCTCAGATTAAACATGCAATTCGAACATACAGAAGTGCTCTTTCTGTTTTTAGAGGAACTTCTTGGAGTTATATCAATGATCATGTTCATTTCCATATAGGACAGTAAGTTAGACTAGGTTCATTTCCATATTGTAATTATTTTTTATCAAAAAGCATGTCCTGCATGCTTTGAACTTTCTTAATTGAGATGATTCTTTTAGGTGGTATGCTTTTCTTGGGATGTATGACGTGGCTGTAAAGCATATGACGGAAATCTTGGCCTGTAGTCACCAGTCCAAGACCACACAGGAATTATTCCTAGGAGACTTTCTTCAAATTGTGGAGGTGCTAGTGCCTCTATTGTCTTTACAGATTCATCATATGTTTAGAACCTGACTATTTATTTAATATTTTTCTGAAATTTGTTATAGTTTACAATTCTCAAAATAGTTTCCTTTTTAACAAATCATTAATTTCAGTGTTTTATGTTTCTCATGCTAGGACAGAAGCTATTAATTTGACTATCGTCTTAATTTTTTGTGTATATCATAGAAAACTGGACGGACATTTGAGGTAACAAAACTTCAATTACCTGTAATCAACATCTCTACCCTCAGGGTCATCTTCGAAGATAACCGAACATTTGCATCATCTTCAGCTGTAAGTAGAATCCAATTCTATGCTTCCTCATTCTGTAGTGAAATTGCAAGAAAGAATTATTCAAGGAAATATTTACAGTTCAGGAACAATTAAGCATCTGACTAGTTAAAGAAGTTCCAAAAGTTGTTAATGAGTGCTCATTGATTAATTGGCATCTTGAGTGGTTAATTATTTATTCCAGTAATTTTTTTTAAAAGTTTACATTATCCTTCATTTTTAGTTTTGAGGTAAATTTTCTGTTCTTTATTCTTTTAGACCTTATTGAAAAGTGTGAAACACCTTATCACAAAGGACTTTACATGGTTGGTAGGAACTATGGATCATGTAAGACTAAACTACTAAATAACGATTCTAGTTATACTGCTCTGTCCAGGCAATCTTAGCCACTTATTAGGACTAATTTACTTGATTTACACGAAGTTAGCTTTGATTTTCATTGAACCATTTATTATATAAACTACTGAGTGGGTCATATATAACACTAATTTTAGCCGAAAACATGTTATACCATGTGAACACTAGAAGCACTCTTTTGTGACACAATCAATTCATTCAACAGAGGTTATGGTATGTATGAATCCTTGTTGAGGTGATTTCTAGCAATGACTAGAAATTATGCTTCTCATTGTGTGCTTTGAAAAGGGACATCTGGGATATTTATTTATTTTTTGCTCTATTCAGATCTTGCTATAACCATTATATCATGGGTTTTTATTCTTATATTTGTGTTGCTAGTTAATGGCTGTAAGTGTCACCACACGTTGGTGACTAACATTTCAGGCTAACACTAGAGAAGGCTTGTGGCATTCTTTGGAGGAAGAAATGCTACCATCATTCTCTGCTGCCAAGACTAATTGGTTGGAGTTACAGTCAAAGCTTATCCTAAAAAAACATAGTCAAAATGTTTGCGTTGCAGGCGGTATGTGGTAGAGTTTCATATGAGATTAATAATTGAATCCTTATATTTTACTATTTCACTCGAATGTCTTTCCAATTCTCTCTTAACCCCTAATTATTGGAGGATAAAGGCTTTATTTGCTGTCTTGCGTTCAATGTAATAGCCGTACTGTTCTGGCTTCATGAAAGTAATGATGGTAAATTAGAATTAAAGGGAAAGGAAAACTCAAAATGATGTTTGTTTGAACCATATATGTATGATAGAGTCTAGATATGGGTTGCTGTTCTTGTTCAAACTGCTACCAATACATGTTTTTTGTTACTATTATTTACTAGCAGAAAGTTGGTTTGCCTTTTTAGAATGTTCATAGTTTGTACATATATACTTGTAAATGTTATTGTAGATACACCATGTATTTGTTTTCTTACCAAACAGATGTCTAACCATTGTGGAATTTTTTAATGGATTCTTATTTTATTTCATGTAGTTTGGAGAAGTGATCTTGGCCATTTTTGAAGTTGGGTTATATATATATGTATATATATATATATATATATATATATATATTTTTTTTTTTTTTTTTTTTCCTTTTCTGCTCTAATATATGTGTTCTCTTTGCATCCTTGAAACTCATAAATTTCACATAAATTTAGGAATCATTCTTTATAAATATGTTTTTTTTGTTTCTTTTTTCTTGAAAGCATAGGAAACTAACTAAAAAAATATTTATTCAAAACAAGTTGAATCAAATGGACATTAGTTTTTCAGTGAGTCCCAATCTTAAGCCACACGGATCCTTAGGTTTTATTCTATCATGACTTAAATGAATGTTAGTTGTTAACAACCCTGTGGTTCGCATTAGACAATCAGAAATGAAACTTGGGCATCTCTTGTGTTGTAACTTGTAATATTTTCAATATTTCCAAGGATTTGAAATAATACTGAGTGGTTTTGGCTTGTACTCGTTGTAATTATATGTTAAAAACTTGAAATAATTCCCATATTTCATTATCCTACCAGTATTGTAGAAGATAGGATAGGCTCAAGCAGGTCCTCTGATTCATTTAATTTAGGGAATTGAACTTGTCAGTTTATGAAGTGACTGATTTCTACTTGAAATTAATTTGAATATTTGGTGATGGTTCGACTTTCTTGTGTACATCCTGCTGATAATAGCGTAAGAATAAAAATATGAAAAGTACGTTTTTTTTTTAGAAATTGATGTCTGTTTTTATGTATTATTTAAAATTGTGTAAGAAATCAAAACAATAGGTTTACTTTTCCCTCCTTGATGTATTACTGGTGCATCGTTTATTTTATTGTGCCCATTTGCAGAAGCTGTGAAGGTGACTATTGAATTTAGAAATCCTCTGCAAATCTCAATTCCCATATCTAATGTTACACTCGTATGCAAGTGTTCTTCCAGTACTGAAGTTAGATCAAGTAAGCTATGAATGTCTGTTTATATCTTTTACTATTTTTTTTTTATTAATTTCTTCATATTTTTATATTTATTAGTAATACTCTGTTATGCGTACTACAGATGAAAATGAGTCAAGTATGGAGAAAAATAATGACGTTGACCACTTTATGGTGTCTGAGGTTAATTTCTTAATAGGGGGTGGTGAAACAACCATGGTGAGTGTGTTTTGTTTCAGAAATTCTGTCATGAGAGATCTTCTCTTGACTAAAAATATGCAAATTGAGAAATGCATTTACCATCTTAATTTTGTGTATTACTTCAATTAAATTGAAGCTTAAGTAGAATGGCATGAGACTTCTTTCGCGGAAGATGAAGATAAATGTTCCTTTTGGCAAAGTGAAAATGACGTTCTCTCTGATGATGCATCTCTTTTTAGTTCAGATTGTCTACCTTAAGAATACATCTGACTAATATATAAATTAGAAAGAGAAAAACTGATGATCTGTTTTATTTTTTCTTTTATTGTAAAATTTGTGTTTAAAATTTATATTGAATGGATAAAAAACAGGTAATCGTATTTGTGCTGATGATTTTATAGGGGTTGTGAGAAATGAAATGAAAGGAAAAGAAAAGTATCGGAATAGAAAAGATCTTGAAAATATGTGCGTAATGTCATGAAGTTTTAACATTCCTTTTTTTTTTCCTCTCTAAAACTTCAAAACGTATCTTGAGAAATTGTTCCAAGTTGGAAAGGCAAAACCTCAAACAGATCATTCTTTTTGAAAGTAGCTGCCTGACAATGCATATAAGAGAATGTCTTGATTTATCTTATTTTGCTCTTGTTAGGCCAAAAATAAATAAAGGTGAATATGTAAAATAACTTCTTTTCTCAATTTAGGGGATTGTAATCAAGAGTGAATATGAAAAGGATCTCCACTATGCATCTAACTGCTGAGCTGGCAGTAGGGAGGGTGGAGAAAACTTGAAATTGTTGTATGGGGTATAAGGCTAGGGAGTGTGGTTGGAGAGGTTAGTCTGGGACTCTTGGGACAGACAACTGTGCAGGACATTTTCTTTTTCCATTGAATTTCTTTTGTAACAACATTCAGGCACTGTAACCTCCTGATGCAGGCCTATTTCAGCAATAATACATTGAAATTACAGTAAATTCCATCTCCTTTTATGCTACATGTTGGTAGCTATAATCTTTTTAGACAATTATCTGTGCATTTGTTTGTGTTTATATTCTATTTTAAAGTTATCAGTTTTTGTAAAGTTAACATTGTGTAGTACTTGTTTTCTAGATTGAACTATCAGTTACTCCCAGGGAAGAGGGTACTCTTGAAATTCTTGGTGTTAGGTGGAAACTGTCAGGGACAATTGTTGGCTTTTACAACTTTGAGTTGGATCACCCAAAGAAGAATATTATAAAAAGAAGGAAAACAAAGCCCCTGCCAAATGAGAAATTTAAATTTGTGGTGATTAAGGTGCTGCATGCTTTTATCCTTCTCTTTCTCATTATTGTATTTTTTCTATGTCAATCGTGTGGTCTCTAAGTTTGAACTAAAACAGAATTTTCTCTTCCAAATCCCAGAGCATACCCAAACTTCAGGGTTCGATCCACCCCTTACCTGAAAAGGCATATGCTGGAGATTTACGACAACTTGTTTTGGAATTGAGGAATCCATCAGTGTTTCCTGTCAAGGTACCATGTTTGGAATTAACTTGCTCTAAGAAAACTACTTCATCAATTTCAATCATAAACTTTCATGTGAGTATCGAGATACTTAATGAGCGGGATGTATCAAAGATATACTTTTAATGAGACTAATGAGCAAATAAGTATGTTTAATGAGAATGGTGCATGAATAATATAGAATAAGTATGGTGCATGAACAATTATAACAATTTAAAAAGGATGGTTCAAGCCCTACTATTTCATAACTTCTTTTCTGGAACATTAACTTTCCTTTTTCCTTTTCTCTTTTCAGATCTGTTCTTTTTCTCTCTCTCTCTCTCTCTCTTTTCTCTTTTCCTTTCTGTTTAATGCATGCTGGTTAATATGAACTCAGTACCTGACAAGGGTGTATCCTGGATGGGTAATCTGTTTGTTTCTTCTCTCTTGTAAAATTGAGTCTAGAGCTCTTACTTTTGTAATTTTCAACAACGTAATCCTAATCAGTTCGACTGACTCATCCGAGCTCAAAAAAATGGTTGAATGAATCTAATCAATTTGCAGTCCAGCTTTAATTGATTATGAAGCTTATGGAGCTAGCCTCATCAATTAACAACCTGGATCTGATCAATAATAGGGAAGCTCCATTAAGCCAAATTTTGTGCTTTTGCATAACATAATTGATTAGCATCCCCATTAGCATTCAACATGCATTCTAGATTTCTTGTTTTGTTAAAACAGTTTTATGCTTTATAGTTTTAAAAAACTAAAGAAATAAAAATTGATAAATTATGTTTTTCTTTGTTTTCATTAATAATATCTACATTTCCACCAACGGTTGCACTATATCACTTACCTTCTTCGTTGTTATTATTGTTGTTGTTGTCGAAATGATCCTCTAACTTTGTTGGTGACTCTTTGTCCCCGATGGCACTATCCTCTTTTGTTTAAAAGAGTTTCTAAACTAAGGTTATCAAACAAATATTATTTGCAAAATCATTTCTTTAAAATTGATGACTAAAACTATTTTTAAAAAGAAAAGACAAAACTAAATCAAAGAAGCCCTTAATGAAAAGAGAGGCATTTATTATATTGTAACACAAAATATTCAACACCTTCTATTTTATAATGATATTAAAAGCATTTTAATAAGATTTGTTAAACATTCTTGGGTTGAACTTCAGATCTTGCTTTCTTCGTCCTCTTTCTTGCATACTGTTTTTTCTTTATACCTTTTCTCATTTGTGGCTTTGGCAGAATCTGAAGATGAAGATAAGTCATCCTAGGTTCGTTATAATTGGGAAGCAGGAATATATGAATTCAGATTTTCCTGGGTGTTTAAGAAAGAAGACAGATTCATTACAAAGTGATAAGGATGCTAATAGTAATATCATGTCTGACACAGTCTTTTTGTTTCCAGAGGTCAGTATTGAATTTTTTCCATGTAAGTTGTGTATTGACACTTCATTCTAATTTGGCTGCTGTTGACTTCTTGGTCACATGATTTACACTTCCTTCCAGGGTACATCAGTTCAAGGTGAAACACCCTTCTTGTGGCCTCTTTGGTTTAGGGCTGCTGTTCCAGGTGATATATCTCTTTACATGAGCATATATTATGAGATGGGAGATGTATCCAGTGTCATCAAATATCGTACTCTTCGCTTACATTACAACGTGCAGGTTAGTATAATGAACACTGAGAAATTTTTGGGCTTCAGTGGTTTTTTTTTTTTTTTTTTATTATTGTAACCCTTTTTTTTCTTGTATGGTGGCTACAAAAAATTACTTGAATAATTGTGTTATATGATTTTTTGCTGCATTATGAGTTAAAAGAAGAATCAGTTAAATGCCTCATTTTTTTATACACATGGCATAGATCTCGTTAATTCTCAAGTGCCTAATTTGGGTGGTTGTAGGTATTACCGTCATTGGATGTCTCATTTCAAATCAGTCCTTTTCGATTAAGATTAGAAGAATTTCTTGTTCGATTGGATGTTGTAAACAAGACTAGCTCAGAAAGTTTCCGAGTTTGTCAGTTATCGTCAGTTGGTCACCAATGGGAAATCTCATTGGTTCAAGCTCCGGATACTATTTTTCCTTCACAATCATTGATGGCTGGTCAAGCAATATCATGTTTCTTTACACTAAAGGTTTGTGCTATAGGTTTTGATATTTCCTATTCATCGTTTTAACATGACTTTTATTTTTTTTATTTTTTTTATTTTTTTTTATGAAAATAGGATTCATTTGAGGAGTTCTATTTAAATGTGAAAAGATGGATAAGTGATTTGTTAATTGGTTTAATATAAATATTTGATTAACGATGTACATTAAAATATAATTTATAGGGGTAATTTCAATTAAAGGCAATGACTTGAAACAAAATGTTGAACGATGAACCTTCTTAGTGTTATTTTGTTGTGAAATATGGTTATTGGTTGCCAATATAAAAGCTACTTTTTTTCACTTATACTCAAACTTGCTGTAAGGTCGAAACTTGATTTTAACTTCATGCTAACCAAACATTTTGCTAGTACCCTGTTTATATTTTTCCAACTCACGTGTGGGTAGTTCCAACTCCCCAAATATGCTATTAGTATTATTCTATTATGTACCCTCGGTTTAGGTGATTGTACAAGATGTTGTCACTTCGTTGAAATTTGTATGCTTGTGTATGTGCGTGAATATTACAGTTGCTGAAATTGGTTATTGTTTGTCCTTGCCTTCAGAAATCAAGGAGTTTTTCGACATTGGAGAATGACATGCCTACAATGCCTGTTAGAAGTGATGTAAGATTGGTACCCCAAAGCAGTGATGATTTAGTTTATGATATAAACAGTACACCTTTGATCAATTTCCACCATTATGAAAGATTGCAGCAGGAAGTTTCATTCGAGGTATATGTTAATTTCATTTTTATTTAAGTCCTAGCAAAGTGTATATTTTTGTAGTTTGAATTCCATATCATTTAGGGTATGCTTGATTGTGCAGGTGGAGGGTAGGGTAGAAAGCAAATGATAGAATAAAAAATAATTTTTAACCAACACTGAACATATATTATATTACATTTTTCATGTCTTTTTCAGGGAACTAACCCATAGTACAGTGATATTGCCTGCATGTTTTTTCAGCTGCTCAGGCTCATTCGTACACTTTTTCCACTGGCATATTCTCTTAAATAACAAACGCCTTTAATATGATTTTCTTTGCCCATAAATTTACTTTGGGTACTGGCATATCTGATTGGCGAAATGTTTGGGTTGTGCTACTGAACCCATAATTTCTATGCTTAGTTTTTTGTTTTAATTATTTTTCACAGCTCATACGTATTTTGTCATCCTATCCTGCTTCAACTTTCATGTAGGAATGTTTCAAAATTTCAATTAGCTTTGAGAATATTTTTATCTATTTTCACATTTTACTAGATTTCATTTTTTTTGTTGGTTAGCTAACTTTAGATATTTCAATGTGTAATATACTAATATAAGATTATTTTTTATTTGCTTTTCTGCAAAAGGCATAGTTTCTAGGTTATAGGAATTTGAATGTTTAACGGAAAAATTTGTTTGCCATTGTCGTATAACATTTACTATTGACTGTTCGAAATTCTTAACAATATTTCTTTCTTGTTTTCCTCTCCTTTTGCTGATACGAGCTTCATTTGCTTGTACGGTCAGGGTGACTTAAATACTGTAGATTTTGTATTAATCTCTCGGCCATTTAAGAGTAACGACAATCCTGGTTTTTCCAATCCTTCGTTTGTTATGTCTCATCATGCGTGTCACTTCAGGTATGTTTCTTCCACACATAATGCTTCTAATTTTAACTTTATATAAATTTTAAATATCCGCGTGTATGTTATTTGCTCGTCTTTTTTGGGTGGGATTTATCTTAATCCGTTTGTCTTCTGTTAGTACTGCTAGCACGGGCCCTATTTCATGGCTAGTGGATGGACCTCAAATCTTTCATCATGACTTCTCTGCATCCTTCTGTGAAATAAGTATGAAGATGCATATTCACAATTCATCTGGTGCCACTGCTTTTGTACGCATTGACACCTTTAATTCAGCTGGTAATGTTGGACATATGAATAGTGTAAATGTGGTTCAATCAGCAACTACCGATAGCCAAGCCGGGTGGCATGACATCACCCCGGTAAATGAACACAAAGTCACATCAAATGCTGTTGAAACCCAACCAGGAAAGGCACTGTCATTGGAAAGTGCTTCCTCGTATATTTGGTCTGGATCAAGCTCAACCAATCTTCACATTGACGCAATGTCATCGGCTGAAATTCCTCTTCAGATCAGTGTATTCTCTCCAGGGACATTTGACCTGTCAAATTATGTTTTGAACTGGAAACTTCCTTCCAATGGACAGGGAGATAGTGATGAAACGAGGCAGCATTCAGGCAAGTGCCAGGGGTACAAATACTATCTTACCGTGCTCCAGTCCACTTGACAAGTTAGTAAACATTTTGCTGTTCGTTTATCACATGCTAGAATTTAGATGAGTTGTAGCCAGGGGGCTGTATATATTATATACGCTTCTATGTATTGTTAAAATGTCGTTAGGAGCTAGGAGCAGTGTAAAAGTTGGGTGGATAAAGTGGTAGAACTCAACCTTTATATCCAAACAATAATGACGGTGGCAATATACAAATCATCGAATAGGCTGGGTGGCGTATTTGGAGTGGCCAAGTTTGAGAAAGAAAGTTGTGAGGAAGTACTTTTTTGAAAACAATCTTACCAATATTTTGCATGCCCCGCGGTTAAGAAGGGATGGATGGAATTGCGAGTGGACCACCACAGGTAATCAAACGATACATTTTCACCCCTTAAACCTGGTAGGCAGGGTACATGCGTCAGCACCGCAAGAATTGGTTACGCTGACACTAAATGTTTTGCGCGTACTTCAACGAATTGTTTATTCTAATTTTTCTACATGATCGAAGCAGTTCTGATTGTGTAGTTTCATGACTCTTGCAAACTTGTAAGACAGGAAAGATTTACTACACTGTAAAAAGTTATTCTAAAATCAGAGGATATTAATTTTTATTATTATAATAGTTTGATTTCTTTTATTTAGACTTTGTTTGGTTGGAGTGATTTGAGAGAGTGGAAATGAGAGAGTGGAAAAGGAGGGATTTGAAGAGAAATGGAGATGAATGGAATGTTTATGGGAAATTGTGAATGATTTGATTGATATGAGATATAAAAATTATAATTTTATGTTGATTATTTAAGAAAATTACCATTTTACCCTTTGTATAAAATAAGGTTCAAATGATTATAAATATAAATTTTTAATTAATTATCCATATTTTAACATTGATTATATATTTAAAAGAAAAAACAAAATTAAAAGTGTTTGTAATTGGAAACAAATTTAAAAAATTAACTTTTTTTAGATAGTTATTAAAAATTATATAAATAAACAATTACAAAATTATTTACATTGCATATCCATATTCAAATAATGTTGACATATTAAATAAATTATTTGACTAATAATTAAATAATTATAAAATATAAAATAATAATTAATATTGATCTGATAGTAACAAATAATTATGAAAACTAATAATATAATTATACATTATTATTTAAAACAAATATAAAATACTGTGAAAATAGAATAATAATTAAATGAAACATTACTAAAATTTTAAACCTATGCACACTAATGTTCTTCAAACAAATAATTATAATGTTATTCATCTTTTGCGATCAAGTCCTCCAGGTTCGGATCATTCAATCACTTCCACTCAAGAACATGAACAACTTGGGAGAGGCGAAGATGTCCCATATATCTGATCCGAATGTTGAAATGTTTATGATCGTCTCATCACATTAACTTGCGATAAAATAATTACAATATAATTTTCTACTTTGAGAATTAATAATATAATTAAACATCAAAATTGAGAATACTCTTATACATTTTGAACTCTTTTGGATAAATTTTGTTTCCCTAATTTTTGATAAAGTTAATTTTAATATTTAAAATTATTTAACATTTTGAATTCGAAAGGTTTTGTCTAATAGCAAATTTAAAAACATAATATTCAAAAAATATTTTAAGATTCGGGTTGTATTTCGCTCGAGCGACTATACTCTGCTCGAGCAAAATACCATCCTGATCGATCATAATGTGAAATGATCGATCATAATTGGAGGATATAATAGCGGTTCCTCACGTAACCGCTTATCTAAAGTGTATATTAGATAGCGGTTAAGGTTTAACCGCTATTATAAGGTATGGGTTGTGTTTCGCTGAGCGACTATATCTCGCTCGAGCGAAATACAAAAACAACAACCACAACAACGCTTTCTTTTTCTATCTCTTTCTCTCGTCCTCCGCACACAATGCGCGAAGAATGAACACAATGAGCCAAAGGACCAATTGAATTGAATTGATCTCTTTCGCATTCAGCTCAACCACACCACGCACTACTCTCAGCTGAGGTGTGTTTTGTGTTTCGACTCGTCTATTTATTGTGATGGTGGAAGCAGGTGAGGATTGTTGCGTTAAGGTGGCGGTCCACGTGCGACCGCTCATCGGCGAGGAGAAGGTTCGGGGATGCAAGGATTGCGTGAGCGTCGTGCCAGGGAAGCCTCGAGTGCATTTACTCAACGCAATGTGTCGCTAATCACTTTGTAATTATAAGCAACAGCCTTCCACTTGCTTGCTTGCATTGTGCGTTTTCCTTTGCCTTTTTAAGAATTGGTGAATCTAGTCAGTGGAGATCTGGATCCCGGATTGCTTTGCGAATTAATGTAGAGAGAGTTTGCCAATTTGGAATTGCTTATAGGATCCGATTAATATGCTTGCTTCGTTGATTGGGATTTTTGGTTGACTTTTCTTCTCGTCTCGGGTTTCACAAGTACCTTCGGTTAAATGGCTCGGCTTGTAAAATCCGAGAGTCAATCTTGTTTAAACACTCTCGGGCACCATTTGGTCGCCATCTCTTTCAATAGGATTCGAACCTGGTTTGTCACATTATGGGAGAGGAGTTTCTTCCGCTAAACCCAACTCCCGTTGGTTGCGAAACATTATTTGTGAACTTAGTTATTAATGGAATCCTTAAAAACTTCCTTATAAAAAGAAAGTAACTCTGTGTGTGTTTATGTTTTGTTTTTCTTGTTACATTTTACATTGGTGTTGTCAACTCTTGATAAAAGCGAGGGAACAGATGAACTAACCTCCGACCTAGAGACCGCATTACGGTCTCAAAGCTTGAGCCGGTGTCAATTGTGCTACACGCTCGTGGTCTGAATGAATTTTTTAGAGATTGAGTGCGCACTCGTAAATGATAAGTTGGTGTTAGTGAATTAAATCAGTTCTTTGGTTTCTTGGTACCATTTAAATCAGTTCTTGTTTTCTAATTATGTTAATGTTCTACTTCGTATTTGGTAAGGATATATCAGCTGACTAATATTTTTAATTAAAAAATATTTTAAGATTCGAGTTGTATTTAGCTCGAGCGATTATACTCGCTAGAGCGAAATACCATCCTGATCGATCATAACGTGAAATGATCGATCATAATGGAGGATATAATAGCGGTTCCTCAGTAATCAGCTTATCTAAAGATGTATATTAGATAGCGGTTAAGGTTTAACCGCTATTATAAGCTCCTTTAAGAACCTTGTTGCGTGCAGGGTTGTGTTTCAGCTTGAGCGACTATATCTCGCTCGAGCGAAATTTGATTCCGATCGATCATAACGTGAAATGATCGATCATAATTGGAGGATATAATAGCGGTTCCTCCGTAACCGCTATCTAAAGTGTATATTAGATAGCGGTTAAGGTTTAACCGCTATTATAAGCTCCTTTTAACAACCTTGTTGCGTGCGGGGTTGTGTTTCGCTTGAGCGACTATATCTCGCTCGAGCGAAATTTGATATAATAGCGGTTCCTCTGTAATCGCTATCTAAAGTGTATATTAGATAGCGGTTAAGGCTTAACCGCTATTAGAAGTCGTTGTTATAATAGCGGTTAGGATTTAACCGCTATCATATATTGCGGAGTAAGCTGCGACTTTTCATTACTTTCATCTCTTTTCTTCGCACCTCACGAAGAAACCCTCTCTCTCATCTCCCCCTTTTCCTCGCTCGCATTTCGTCGCAAATCGGTTCAACCAAACGTGTGTGAATGTCGTGTTTACGTCTTCGTGAATAGTATTTCGTCGCAAATCAATTCAAACAAACACAGCGTTAGTGATATTACAAGTTTCGCAGCGCATTAACTTCAAGCGGAACTCTGCTGTCCATGAGGTTAATTGCATGCTATCAATTTGCGAAAGATACTATCTTTATCATCGTTATCATTTAAATTCTAATGAATTACCCGTCAAATAGAATGCATTATATTCAAATGAAAGTGTCACATGATTTTCAGTATTTTAATATTATATTATTTTACTGATTCTTTAAATTTATAATGACATGTTAACGAATTAGTTTTTTTAATGACATTGTTTCGTAGCATTTTTTCGCAAAATTAAGGTTTTATTGTTTTATTTTGAAAAAAAAATTCTTTAGCACATCAATACATTGTTCAATATATAAGGGATTGGTTTGTGTGAAAATTAAAATAATGTGATAATAAAATGAGTAAAAAATGTTAAATTAAGCTAGAAGAAAGTATGATCGAAAATATGAACTGTTATACTGGTAATTGAAGTAACAGAATGTTCCATATATTTCTTTTTTTATAATTCACAAATAGGTGAGCCCTTGTGATTTCGAAAAGGAAAACGAAGAGAGGAATGATAAAAAAAAATGGATGCACTATTATTGTACATGGAAGAAGGAAAAAACAAATATGTGGAAAACTAAGATGATGCATAAACATGAGGATTTAATTCACTTTAAGCAGTGTAAGACTTGCCTTAAACTCTCTTATATTGGAATTAAAAACAAAATTCTAATAAAAAATAGTAATGCGCTATGTGTGACGGTTGTTGTTACGGTAATAAATCAAAGATTGATAAATGTAAAGGGAAAATATTACTAGTTTATTATTTGACACTTTTTTTAATTATGTGACTTGTTAATAAGAAGAGATATCTTATGGAAGATTAAATAATCAAAATTAATTCAATTTATTTACATTTGACAAATATTATCAATATAATGATATTTTGCAATATATATTTTTTATCATTATATAACATTTATGTAAAACTCACAAAATAAAAATAGAAATAAGACTGACCTTTTTGCGATTCACTTAAATTTCAGTCGTCAATGTACTTAGAACTGTGGTGTGGGAAAATGTGATTCTTCATCTCACGTAATAAAAGTTTTTCCCCATAAAATATATATTTAAGAACTTTATAACTTTAAAGAACTTATTACTATATATTAAACATTTACCTAAACAAAAATAAAACATATACACATTTATGGGCCTGTTGAAGTATTGGTATATATAACAAAAGAAAATATAAAATGTGCTTTTAGTAGAATAATTAAATGTGTTTTATTTATTTTTTTAGTTTATTTCTATTATTGTTCATTAATGATATGAGGGGTGATCTTTAATGCCATGTTTGATACATGGCATGTGATCTATTAATGTAGCTTAATATGCTATGTTATATGTCGTGTAAAAAATATCCATTAATATAGTACTTTCTATACATCACTCATTATCTTTAATAAAGATAAGTAAATTTGAGTAAAAAAATATGTTATTTGGATGAATAGAAATAATAAAGATAAGTAAAAAAAAATGTTTCACTTTCTCACTGAATAAAAAGAGAATGAAAATAAGTAATTAATATTAAAAATTGTTTTTATTACTTAAAAATTCAATTTTATTTCATTAATCTTTTAACATAAAATTATTCATTATTTTTACTCTATTATTTTTAAATTCATTTTCACTTCAAATCCTTTCACTTATAAATAAATAAAGAAACATAGTTAAATAATGACACAAACAATTTTTTAAATTCATAGTCTTCAATAAATAGATGAAACAAGATACTCCATGTAAAATTGATTTAAAAACTCATTATTGGTGCATTTGGATTTAATTTTGTCTTCTTTCAAAGTAACTTTGAATTTAAAAGTTATGCAATATTTACTGACACTAATTAAAAAGATGAAATGTGAAGATTTAAATTTTAGATAATCTATTATATATAATATATATTACACCAGCTTTCAAACTTTTTCAAATCAATTAGATTCTCTGTTATTATTTTACACCAAAAAACAAATAATAACAGAATTTTTCTGCTATCTGTTTGATCTAATCAAACCCAGTTTTAACCAACTCACTCCTTCTTTATCTTCTTCAATATTCACTCCTTTCTTCTAAACTTCGTTTAAAGTGAAATCGGTAAAACCACAACTCGTTTACGTGAAGCAATAATGCACGACTTGTTCTCCACCACTTCCTCCTGCCGAAGCCACCGGTTTCCTCCGTCTCCAGACCACAGCATCATCGAAATGGCCGCCGCCGCCGCCGGCGATCACGATGGAGCAGCAAGCCTTGCGACGTACTTCGGCAACGTGGAAGAGATAACGGAAAAGCTGAACGAGGTGGAGCGGTTGAAGCTCAGTCTGAAGAGATCTCACGAACAAGGCAAGACGCTTCACAATGGCAAAGCCGTGAAGGACCTTCGCTTAGCCATGGAAGCTGACGTGGCACTCGCTCTCGGGACCACGAAGCTCATCAGGTTCCAGTTAGAGGCGCTCGAAAGCGCCAATGCCGATCACCGGAAACTCCCCGGCCGTGGACCGGGTTCGTCCTCCGACCGGTCCCGAACCTCTGCGGTGATCGCTCTGAGGAAGAAGCTGAAGATCTCCTTGGACGGCTTCAATGAACTGCGTGAACAGATAAACGGGGAACACCGTGAGACCGTTCAACGCCAATATTTCACCGTCACCGGCAAGAATCCCGACGATAAAACCCTCGACCTCTTGATCTCTTCCGGTAACACAAATTCCTCTACGTTTTGTCATCAGCTTCTGTTGTGTTGTGTTTTTCAACAAGTGTATTAAAGTGAGAAATAATACTATAACACTCTCTTTTGTTATCATCTATCATCAATTATCTTTAGTGAATCCCAATCAAGATTTTTTCATTCATAAAGCTGGATGAGTGTTTTTAATATTTCTTATAGCAAGTAGATATTGTATTAGAGATTTTTAATGTGATTGAGGAACCCTAGATTAGGTTATTATATAAGTGTTTGTTTATTGAAGGAGAAAATAAAATTAATTCCTTTTCATTTGAATTATAAGTTGTTCTGAAGAGTAACTTACGAACTTATAATTATAAATTATTTCTGTAAGTTCTTTTACAAGTAGCAGTCCACAAAAACATTTTTTGGTTCCCTTCACATTTGCATAAAATCCAATTACAAGCCAACTTAAAAATGAGTTTTAAGTTCATATTTCATCTTTTACAGTGCGTGAATGTGATTTTTGGTGCAGGTGAGAGTGAGAATTTACTACAGAAAGCCATTGAAGAGCAGGGTAAGGGAAGTATTGAGGAGACTATTAACGAAATAGAAGAGAGGCATGATGGGATTAAAGAGTTGGAGAACAACCTGAAAGAGTTGCATCAGGTGTTCCTTGACATGACAGCGCTGATTCAATCTCAAGGTGAGCAATTGGATGATATAGAGAACCACATGGCGAGAGCAAACTCCTTCATCAGGAACGGGACTCAGAATCTGGAAACTGCAAGGAAGGGGCAGAAAAACTACCGGAAATGGGGCTATTGTGCTATTATCCTGCTTATAGTGATTGTCTTGTTTGTAGTGCTCTTTTTTGTAAGACCATGGGAAAAATAATGCAAGTGGAGTAACCACTAACCACCATTGTTTATCCTCCTCCTCTTCCTACAACAACTTAACCTAGTCAGTTACCATTCATTCTTTTTGTTTTCATGATCATTCGTCTTGAGCTTTTTATGTTTCGGGATCAATATCATGTTACACGTTACACAACTCTACAGGGTGCCCAAAGTTTAGATGATATAATTCTACATCTGCTGCAATCTGGGACACCAAAAGTTGTTTCTTCTGTAGGTAGATTTTGGAATTTCCTTTTACCAGTCATAATCTTTTGCTTTTAGATATGATTTTTAAGATAGTTTAGGTGATAGTTTTTTATATGGTCATTGTATATATGTAGGTTATTTTTCGGTTCCTAAATGGATAACAAAATTATAATATTAAAATTTGTTTGCATGAAATAAACTATCTTAACAAAAATATATTGGTTCTACCTGTGATCAGCACTATAAGAAAAGAAAATACTTTTTAAAAAGTTTATTACGAACAATTTTTTCCTATAAATAATTAATACAACATGACATTATCTTTGTAAAATGCCTTTGTATGATGAATAAACTATTTTAACTTTTATACAATCAAACTTTGCGCAAGTGTATCCATAATAAACTTATTTCTCTTAAAGAATATGTAAACAAAAAAAAACGTATATTTGAAAACGAATTGCTAAACTAAATTTGAAATTATTTAATTTCTAAAAAAATGTGTAGGTATATTTTTTTTAAAAACATATTAAACAAATAAAATGATGGACTTATAACTTTTTTTTCTTGTATCAAACATTGCAAAGGAAGCAGAACTCTGTTGCAAATGACAGGTATAATTCACAAATTTTAATTTACTAATTGATATGTCAAAATATTTTCTTTCCCAACGTATCAATGTTGAAGCTGATGAGGTTTTCTTCTTCTCATATTTTTCTGCTGACAAAAATGATTTTGTTGGGTGCAACAAACCCATAAAATATATTTGTTATGCAGTTTTAATTAAAATTAATTCAACGTTACCATTCAAATAAACTTATTTATTCTAACAAGGTGGAGAAAAAATCATGTGATTTTGTGCTTTTGGCAATCTTGATTTATTCACATATTATTAATTTATAATAATTCAATTATATATATATATATATATATATATATATATATATATTAATATTTTCACTCATGAATTCAAATTATCCGACAAGTGTACCAAGTTTCGATGTAGTAAAGAGTTATCGTCCACAGGGATTTGTGACTTAGTGATATTACAGATAAGATATGGTTGTCATAATGGATTGAAAGTATGGTCACTACTACAAAATATGCTTTCAACGTCGCCATTTAACGTCGGTTCAAGCTGAGCCGACGTTAAATACACTTTCAACGTCGGTTGGTTAAAAAACGACGTTGAAAGCTGAATGTTGGACACATTCTACGTCGGTTCTTAGTTAACCGACGTAGAAAACACTTTTCACGTCGGTTCTAGATGAACCAACGTTGAAAGTCTTTTTTTTATTTTTATTTTTACTTATTGATAGCGGTTATAAGGGAACCGCTATCTAATGTCGACTTTAGATAGCGGTTCTAAGGGAACCGCTATTATATCCTCTTAATTATGATCGATCATTTCAAGTTATGATCGATCAGAATCTTATTTCGCTCGAGCGAGGGCAGTGTCGCTCAAGCGAAATGCAACCCGAGAATGCTAATTTTGTGCAGGGGGCGTTTCGCTCGAGCGAGAAGGGTGTCGCTCAAGCGAGATACACTTTAGATAGCGGTTATAAGGGAACCGCTATCTAATGTCGACTTTAGATAGCGGTTATAAGGGAACCGCTATTATATCCTCTCAATTATGATCGATCATTTCAAGTTATGATCGATCAGAATCTTATTTCGCTCGAGCGAGGGTAGTGTCGCTCAAGCGAAATACAACCCGAGAATGCTAATTTTGTGCAGGGGGCGTTTCGCTCGAGCGAGAATGGTGTCGCTCAAGCGAGATACATTTTAGATAGCGGTTATGACCGATCAGAACTATTTTAATCGATTAAATCTCGTTTCAATCGATTAAAACAATTTCTGCACAGCGTTTTAATCGATTAAAACTTATTTTTATCAGTTAAAATTACTTGAAAAGTTTTACGAGAAAGTTTTGCAGTATTTCAATCGATTGAATCGCGAAACAATCGATTAAATCAACTTAGAATATTTTTTGTAAAGTGTTTTAATTGATATAAACGTTGTCGTACGTATCAGTTAAAACAAATCTGTTTTAATTGATATACATTTTTGTAAAGTGTTTTGATTGGGTGTTTTGGTCACTCAGATTTGAGATTCAAGGTCATTGGATTGGATTTCAAGCTTGAGGTCAGGTCATGCATGCTGGGTTAAAGATCTTGGAAGCTGAATAGAAGGGTGGAGGATTGAGGTTGGAGAGACGAAGGTGATTAAGCTCGAACAATGGTGGATAGTCACTGGTATAAGGTCACAAAGAGGGAATGAAATTGTGAGCGGGAAGGTGAATTTGGGAGGACTGTCAGCATGAAGAACACAAAATTTTGGAGGATTATCAGTGCGAAGAAGATGAAAGTACTTGGGTTTATTTATATATATTTACACGGATATATATTTATTTGTATATAAATATAATTTATTTGTAAGTTATTATCAAAAAATTCAAGTAGTTTAGTGGTTGGAGTATCGACCTCTAACTCTAAAGTACTTGGGTTCGAATCCTCGCCAATGACAATTCTCTTAAAAATTAAAAAACTTCTAAAAAATATAATATAAAGAGATGGAGAACCTAATAAAAATATAATAGGAAGAGAGAGGAGTCTTCTAGATAAATAAAAGGGGGGTAAAGGGGTTGTAAATAAATAAAAATTATTAATTTAAAAAATCATACTTTCAACGTCGGTTTTTAAGAACTGACGTTGAAAGTCGACATTAGATAGCGGTTCCCTTATAACCGCTATCTAAAGTGTATTTTTCAACGTCGGTTTTTTGGAACCGACGTTGAAAGTTACGACTTTCAACGTCGCCTGATACAACGTCGGTTATTAAACCAACGTTGAAAGCCTTCCAGAACCGACATTGAAAGCTTTATTTGTAGTAGTGGGTTTAAGGTAAACTACTAAAATAGTCGCAGTTTTTTTTATATAACGAAAAGTGATTATAAATAAAGCAGATTGAATTACATGCACTTGCTTCAAGTCCTATTTTCCAATCATATGATTCTGTTTTACAATTTCACTCTTAGTATATAACTTGACCCGATTCCTCAAAACCAAGTCCTAGGGTGTTAACCATGAATGTGATTCTCAACAGTTCAAACCCAACACTCTGCCTTACGAATAAATCTTGAGATTAACGTGATTAATAAACACACTTCTATTCCTAGAGAGGTTGTCTATTAAACATTTGATCCATTTCTGGTTAATGAAAACATTTTCCAACACAATCAAAACCTAAGATCTTAAATCGGTTGATCACTCCGAAGAAAGCATTAAGAATAAAATCAAACACAACTGCAGCAAACAAAAATAATATATATATGAAGAAATGGTCTGAAAGTAGTTACATGCAATCCAACCAGAGTTTTAGCTCCTCATGGAGGAACCCATTACAAAACAAGAGAAGAAGCAGAAGAAATTACAACAAAACTTGTTGGATTCAAGTTTATATGCATTCCCACGAGCTCCTCTAAATCGTCTTTCTTTCTTTCTTCCCACGCAAGCCTCCTTTTCTCTATGTTCTTTCATTTCTTAAATAGAAATTAGGTCTAAGAAGAGGAAAATCCGCTGGGCGGCGGGATGATGCACTGGGCAGATTGAGCCCCACGTGCACCCACTTCGTTCAGGGAAATCCGCTGGGCGCCTTATAAATGCGTTGGACGGATTGAGTTTCAGCCAAAATCCGCTGGGCGCATTATAAATGAGCTGGACGGATTTTCTTCCTCCAAAATTTCTCCTCCTCTTCCTTCAAATCCTGAATCAAAAGAACAACTTGAGAGAATAGTTACTTGATAAAATCTTCTCATGATTTTTATATTCTTTAAGGTTAAGATTTCAGCAAAAAGATGCAAATGTTGTCTAATGTGAGTTTCTCAATGAAATTATACTCAATTAGCTCCTTAACAATATATATTATTTCTTAAACTTGACTGTTTTTTTTTCAGATCTTTAAAAAAAATTAAAATACAAATTATTGTTATAAAAAATATATTATTATTTTCAAATTCAAATTTAAATCAATCATATTTTGTTTTAAATTATAAGAATCTCTGTTATTTAAAAATTAAAATCAAATTGTGTTACTTTATATTTTCAGTATACTATTATTTTAAATAAAATAGAATCTTATTTTATTTTAAATTAACAAACTATTATATTAAAAATATCAATGTTGTAGTAATACTATTATTTTAGGATTATATTATTTAAAATTAAAGTGAACAATTTATATTATTATATTAATTTACTTTATCAAAAAGTACCTCCTCCGTTCCGAACTATATAATATTATTTTAAAAATTTTGGTCATTTTTTTAATTGTCCTTTATATTAAATATTTTTAACCAATATACTCTTAATTATTTTATTTTATAAATAATAAATGATATAAATTTGATTTTTTTCTGAAAGATTAAGACATGAAAAATTAAAACTTCACTTATATTATTCTCCTTTTTATATCTTAATTATTTAAGGATAATTTGTGCTTTTTACATTTATGGTTATGGTTTTGTCACTTTAGACTTTTATAACGTTTAACATTGCCGAAACATTATTTAAATATATATTTTTTAATCTTAATAAATATTTCATTTTTTGTTTTTAATTCTGATAAACATATCAATTTTTATTTTATTTTATGTTTTTATCATTATTTACACATGTAATCTTATTGATAACATCATTGTCAATTTTCTTGATAACATAACACTTTTACTTTACATTTAATGATGTCATAATTACATCACTTTATACCTAACTTTTCTTTATATTAATAATAATAATAAAACAAAAAAAATAAAAAAGAAGTCATGAAATAAACTTGTTTTATATATATTTATGAGTCCAAAAAAATTAAAAAAGAAGTCATGAAATAAACTTGTTTTATATATATTTATGAGTCTCAAATAGTCTAGAATCGAAATTAAAAATAATTAATAAAGTTCTTCCAATAAAATTATAATTAATTAAAATTACAAAAATAATAATATTTTGGAGAAGATAATTAACTCTAATAATATTATTATAATATGTATATTCTCATAATTAAATTAAAAAATATTTAAT